GTTATATCTTACCTAGAAAAGCCTTGGTGCATAACCCTATTATTCTGCACTTTATTTTATGCTTATGCATTAAGTTTAAGGAGTTGAATGAAACCCACTTGTATATATATATATATCCTATCATATGAGTCTTACTAGTATGACAGGATTCGTGTATATTGCTATGCTATAGGACTCTGGTAGAAGTCGAGTGATTGTCTATCACTCGTGAGAGATAGGAAAGATATTATTGTTGTTATTATATTACTATTACATGGAATATATATAAATGATAATTATAGACCGGGCGGAATGGTATTTTGGATATGGTCTTGGTTAGGCATTCGAGCGAGGCTCGGATTGCACTTGTTTCGCCTGTGTCGGTTAAGAACTGGACGTTGCATTGAATTCTAGTCAGGTCATAAACTTATTATCTTAAGCACATACTTGTTTATGGGAGCAGAGAAGGCTCATTGTTCTCTTGTTGTGGGTTCCGGCTTTTTTCGGACCAACTGATTAGAGGCGGAAATGGTAGAGGTCTAAGCACCACACTGAGTCTAGGACTTAGGTGTGGGGGCTTAGAGTCCAAGTTTAGACGGGGACCTAGACCCCTTGACATGAGAGTGATGAGTTGGTCCTACTTGTGCCTGGGGTACAAGCGGGGCATGTGTTTCGGGATACCCAGTTGGACACATTGATTTGCGAATCGTCGGGTAATCCGGTATGACTTGTCTATAATCTGGCATCGTAGTAAGAACTGGAATATGAAAGATGAAAAATTGATTCTGAATGCTTACCACCTGCTTAAAAGCAGCATAGGTGCTTACATAGAATGGTTAGTTAATGAACTAATGATGACTGCTAATAAAATTGAATATAAGGACGCACGCTTAGTAATGTTTTCTGCAAATGCAATAAAACCTATAGGTTAGATAGCCTTGTATATCTTTGGAGTCTTTTTTTTCCTCCTGATGGGTAAGCCTTGTGGAGTACAATTGAGTACTCAGAGTTTGTTCTACCCTGTTGCAGGTGACAGGAACATGTGGAGCTGACACTTGTGTGTGGAAACCTCCTGGTGGGCTCAGCGGGGATTTCCTTTACGTTGCAGACATAGAATTTATTTAAAACTTCCACCCAACATGTTTTGCAATGGAAAAACTTATAGCCTGTTATGATGTATATAACGGATCATCATGTTAATGTTTAACTTATCGTTAAATGATTTTATTTTCATTGAAACTCTGATAACATGATCATATTCTGCTGTTATAAATAATAAATATTATACTCTGATGTTGCATGAAAAGTGATTAAGAGATGGCTAAGAATGTTGTAAGCTTTATTCTCTTATTTATGATCCTGATAGAAAAATATGGATTTTTGGGTTCTCCCTTGGGGTGTGCTCGACGAAAACGTGTAATTTAGTGTTCTCTCTTGATTACTTAGTGTCTAATGGAGAACAAGTACTTCTGAGAGGCATTAGATTAGACCGTTCTACCATAATAAAGATCTTGCAAAATTCGCCAAAAATCATAGAAAAATCAGAAAAATGTCAAACCAGTTTTGTTAGCTTCATTAAAATGTGAACTATCCATAGATGTTATGAATCTTATTAGGTTGTGCTTTTTTATAGGTGTGTTAAATCATCCTTACATATGTTGCATGCATATAGGTTCGGCAATGAATGAGAACATGCCTGAGGCAGACTCGAAGTACGTGGAGGTGGCCAAGAAGTACGAGGAGGAGGTCCTCGGCGTCGGTGTTCATGAAGCCTTCACTAGCTTTTCGTTGTTCGATTCCTGTCCAAGACAAGCCCCAGTGCATAACTCCTACTTTTCAGCACTTATTATGTTTGTTTGCACATTAAGTTTTGATTTGAGGAGAAGGATTTACACCATCTGATTTAGTTTTGATTATAAGCAAAACTTATTTTATTAAAATACGGATTAGTCAATGGTACAACTAATTATTTCGTGAACCGAAATCTTGGGCAGATTATTATCTAATGAAATGTAAACAAATGTATTTCTGTAATTCCTGACGAGGACTGCCGTGTGAAAATTCAAGATAGGTCTCAATCATTGGCAGACAGACCAATCCATGACACATCAACAAAAAAATTACAGAGGTTGATATGATGCGTCGAAAAAGCTACAAAGGTTGATATTGAGTCATAGAAACACGTGGGTGTGTATTATGAAAAAATTAAAGTTATGGTATATTTATAACTAAATAATATGCGTTTTGCAATGGAAGGAAAAATATACAAAGCTGTATTTTAGTTTGACACGGTTTAATAGGACATTGTTATTTATTGTTAGCATTAACTTATATTATGAATGTCACGGTCATCACAAAATAAGTTATAAAAGGATAAACATAAGTGTGATATGTACCATTCACGTTATCGTTTTGCATGAATGTTTAATAGTTTTTTTATTCCGTTGCAACACACGGACATATTTGCTAGTAGAAAACAAAAAGGAAAACACAAAAACAGGAGTATGGATGTAATAGGAAAATAGGGATTGGAAAAAAACAAGAAATACATAGAGGATTGGAAAGAAAAAGAAGAAATACGTAGAGGATTGGAAAAACACAAGAAATACTATAAAATGGTGTTTGGAACATAGGAGCCATAAGATAGGAATAATTAAAATAAGAATGATAAATGATCATTTAACACCATGATTTTAATATCGACTAGCAGATATAAAGGTGATCATAAATGTAGTATTTACCTCTTATCACTATCTCACACGGGTTCATGAACCTGTCTAAATGAAATAGAGAAACATGGCATTATACAGGAATAGAGGAACGCATGTTTCATGGTTGATGTGATCTCTGAAGATCATTGCTCAACAGTAGCCTGACGATCTTTGGGTCGGCTACTGGCCACCACCACATCGACAGTGTCAGGCACGTACCTTCATGACAAGGGTTTCAAGGTCATTGTGACATTCTTTAGTAATTGCAAACAAACAAGATGGTGTGCACAGAAGCTGAAATATAAATTGAAGGCTTCGGTAGTACTGCAACCAACTAGGCACTAGCTAAAGTTCTAGTCATGGGACAAGCTAAACATAAATGAATACCTTGAAACATGACTAAGGTTATTTGAATCATGATTGAGGTGTGCATATTCAGGGAAAGGACAAGAGATACTTTGACTGTTAAAATGACTGATTAATGACCTATAGGTGGAAAACCTGGTACTTATTATTATGATACAAATGTTCAACAACCGGGAAACCCTACATCTATATGTTTTCAACAAAGAAAGAGAGCAAAATAAGATGCTTACAGTTCTTTAGGGCATTCTTTACAATGCTTTGAAAAGACTCTTCCACATAGTTCCTTCTTCGGCATATATCTCAAAGAGTCAAAGTGAAATATATTGCCTTTGAGGCACATCATGCCCTTGATGACATTAGCACCCATTGCATTAGCACTATATATATATATATATATATATATATATATATATATTGAGAATCATTGCATTAGCACTATATAAATGCTCATATTTGAGCACCCATTAATTGCATTAGCTACACATTAACTTTCATGTAAGCCCAATAGAGAGGCCCAACTGTTGTAGACCTACTGAAACAAATGTATATCGTCTTTCTAGCATGCAATTAGGTTTGGCAGCGGCAGCAAGGAGTAGGCTAAAAAAAAATTATGTAGGTCAAAAAAGAGTTCGAACAATCGGGAGAACAATATTATTGAGTTGACATAGCATATCATCAAATTACAAACAAAAATCTAAAAATTAAAAAGATGATAATATTACATCTAGGTCGTTTGGTATTCTTCTTTTTCTAGCATTTTTTAGTGTAAGGTGATGCTTTAGATGATCATATACCCAGCGAACACCAAACGGAGAGTACAATACTTGTACTAGATCCCCTGAGCACTCTCAAAACACTAATCATGCCGCAAGATCCAACACTTTAGAATTAAACCGATTGTATAAAAAAGCTCAACAGTAAGATCGACGATCCAAACTCGCTACTTACATAGGAAATGCCTAGGAGTAACAACCCCATCACAAAATAGAGATAGCAAATGACCTTGCACATACAACCACAATAATGATCTTGTCATAGTCATCACCGTTGTCATCACATGTAACGTGGTCTAAGTCGAACATAATGGTAACTTCATGGATAAATCCATTCGGACTAGACTTAAAGTACTACTAGATTTATTTAGGGAGGGGCCTTACTCCTTTTGCCAATGATGAACTTGGCGAAGAGGGAATGGAGGAGGCAGCCAAGAATATGGCACATTGTGTTTGTATAACTTCTATTGTAATATACGTGGACTAGCCACGCCGTTAATGAGAAGTTTAGGCATACTATTTTTTTTATAGAAACTACCAAACCATATTAAGTATTACTACTACAATTTGTCCCTAAATGTAAGTAACCATATTAAATCATAATAAGAAGTTATAAGTGGGTTGTTGCTGAGGTGGAGGCAGAGAGTGGGGAGGAGAGAGAAGAGAGGCGAGTTGTAAATTTAAAGCAAGCTTATGTACAGGAACTAAGAAATTTTGTGAGACAAACTAGTGGGCACTAGATGAGCTAACTAATATATGATAAATGAGTTGATAAATTGAGAGTATGTTTATATGTCACCAGCAGCAGGGTGTATTATTAGCCTTTTCTTTTAGTTACTGCTTCACCCGTCCCTGAACCATGTTGCAATGAGTCGTTGTAAGTGTTCGATTCTCACCAGCTCAACCGGTTAGATTTTTCTTTGCTTCTAACAAACTCAAATCTTAACTTTTATTTACCGGGGAGGGCCAATAACGTGCATATACAATTTACAGCTTAAGCCTCCACTCACCCGGTCTAAAAATTGCATGAATCCGAAACCACAGAAAAGTACCCAGAAAAAAGAGAAGCAAAATTCAGTACCACAGCCTTGACACGCGCATATGTACACGAACGAAACGAATCCACGATCCACTCTAGCCTGACAAAGCGCCCAAAAAAAAATGCCGGGTGTCAGTGTGTTACGGCTGGGCGCGTTCTGCCGGTGGTGCGCCGGCTCATCCTCTCGGTGTCGCTGCCGGCCGCGCGCCTGACGTGCCACTGCTGCCCCTGCGCACCCGCGGCCACCTCGCCCGTGTCGCCCGCGCTGCTGGCCGTGTACTCACTGGATGGGTTCAGCCCGTACTCACTGGTGGGATCGCTGAACTCGCTGCTCGCGTACTCCGTGATGGTCCCGGTCCCGGTGCTCCCTCCCGCGCCCGGCCCGAACGCCATCCGCCTGAGCCGGTTGATCTGGTCGGTCGTGCCGCCGCCCGACCGCTGCATCGCGCTCTGCCCCGGCATCACGCCGGCGTTCAGGTCCTCCACCGACAGCTCGCCCTCCAGGTACCGGACAATCTGATCATTTGAGAGCGCGAAACGAGTGTTATGCTTGCAACCGCGGCTGCATCCAGTGTGAGACGTTCTGGAGCAGGAGCCTTACCTGGCTCATCCGCGGGCGTGACCGCGCGGTCTGTCGCACGGCGGCCGCGGCGCACGCGACCAGCCGCGCCATGTCGTACGCGTCGTAGTTGCTCTCCAGCCTCGGATCGATCAGCTCGTCGTAGTTCTCCTCCTCGACAGCTCTTGTCAGCACTGGCCTAGCCTGTTGAACAGAAAAGAATAGATGCTTCATCACTCGTTGCCGTTGCATATGGAATGGGGAATCAACGTGATGCTATGTAACGACTTATAACCAAGTTCACAGTCATAACTGAGTGGTGGTAACTAATTTTGAAGGACACCGTAATACGAATCACGGAATGTTACAACGACATAGAATGGGCAGCATTGGGTCCAAGAAGGGCCACTCACCCAAGAAACCAATGTCTCAGGCTGATACTCTGAAGATGTCATGATTGGTTTCCTCCCAGTGATCAGTTCCAGAAGCATCACGCCGAAGGAGAAGACGTCGGACCGGTCGTTAACTTTGCCTGTGGCAGCGTACTCTGGCGCCAGATATCTGAAAACAAAAAGAAAAGACAGCACAAATTCAGTCTTGTGTCACTAAATGCACCGGTTCATGCGTCAGCAGTTTATGATGTATGTGGGCAAATTGCTGGGTGTGCCAACATCACAGAACGATTTACCCGAAAGTTCCCATTACACGCGTAGAAACAGCGGTGACTTCAGCTGCTTGGTATTTGGCCAACCCAAAATCTGCAACCTATACCAAAAAAAAGTGCACCTTTCAGTTAAATATGCAGGCAGGCAGGCTAAAAGATTTTCGGCTGTTAAGGTCTACCTTTGGCTCGTAGTTGTAATCCAGAAGGATGTTCGCCGCCTTGATGTCACGATGGATGATCTTAGGGTGACCTGACAGCAAACATAAAATGAGCCCATTTTGTCAGGGACAGAAGCTTCAAAAATTTCGCGGCCAAGAACTCACAGTCTTCGTGCAGATAAGCGAGGCCCTTTGCCGAGCCGACCGCGATCTTCCACCGCCTCGGCCAGTCCAATGTCGGCCTGCCACTCCCTGAGATCAGGCTCCAAAGTCAGTCAGACCCAGTCGCAGCAAAAAAAAAGTTTCGATACAGCCATCGGTCGCATGGCATTCAGGAGATGGAGATGCATTTGGCGAGAGCGTCCGTACCGTGGAGCTGGAACTCGAGGGTCTTGTTGGGCACGTACTCGTAGACGAGCAGCCGCTGTTCGCCGTAGAGGCAGTAGCCGACGAGGGAGACGAGGTTCTTGTGGTGCACGCGGCTGATGATCTCCACCTCGGCGCGGAACTCGCGGTCGCCCTGCCCGCTGCCGGCCCGCAGCTTCTTGATGGCCACCTCCTGCCCGCCCACCGTGCCGCGGTACACGTGCCCGAACCCGCCCTGCCCGAGCAGGTTCGCGTCCGAGAACCCGTCCGTCGCCGCCGCCAGGTCGTCGTACGCGAACGTGCCGCCCGTGATTGCCGGCGAAGGGTTCAGCGGCGGCATCGGGGACTCGGACGGGCCGTGGCTGCTCTGCCACGAGTGCATCAGCGGCGGCGTCGAGGATGGCGTCGTCGACGGCGCGTGCGACATGTACGGCGGCGTCACCGGACGCCGCGGGTCGTAGAACTCGCCTGGTATGCCAGGGACACGAAAGAGCAGAACGATCGGTCAGTCCAGCAGCGTCTAGAGAGCAAAAGTGGCGCGAACGCGCACCATCTCAGTTGCGTGCGTGCAAACAGCTCGTCATCCATGGGATGGGAGTCGCGAAGTACGCCGCATGAGCGCGCGCGATGCCTCCTCGCGTCGATGTGACCGTCACCCGCGATACGCGGAGGGAATTATGGCCCGTGGAATTGCGCTTTGTCACCACGGTCACCACGCTAATGCTAGGGTGGGACCCGCGTTCGGCGTCCGAACTCCCTAGTCGCGACGCGTACTGTCGCATCAACGTGGCCATGACGGAACATTACTCTTGTTGATCGCACGCATGCCAAGGAACAAAGGCGACCGCGTTGTATCTGTACATACGCGTGTACGTACCTGGGAACCCCTGAGACGGCGGCGGCGACCGCCGCCGGCGTTTCCTTCCCATGAAGCAGTAGATGAGACTGGCGGCGAGGCCGAGCACGACCACCGCCGCGACGGCGACGCCTATGCCCACCGCGATGCCGTTGCTTGACGACTTGGAGGGCGATGAGGACGTTGGTGGTGTTCCTGTCGACGGGGCCGGCGGCGGAGGTGGAGGCAATGACAGATGTGACGGCGGAGGCGCGGGTGACGCCGGGACGCCATTAGGGGGCGGCGGCGAAGATGGCACGGAATCAGGAGGTGGCGGTGACGCCGACGCCGGGACTCCATTAGGGGGCGGCGGCGAAGATGGCACGGAATCAGGAGGTGGCGGTGACGCCGGGACACCACTGGGAGGAGGCGGGCCGCTTACGGGCGGAGGAGGTGATGGCGTTGGCACGGTCGCCGGTGGTGGAGGAGATGCCGGTGGAGGTGAAGATGGTGTTGGTACGCTAGCTGGTGGAGGCGGGGACGGCGTCACCGGCGGTGGGGGCGACGGAGACGGAGGAGGAGGGGACGGCGTTGGCGTGGGCGGCACCGGCGCGGGAGTTGGGGGCAGCGGCGATGGCGTGGGCGGCACCGGCGCGGGAGTCGGCGGTATCGGCGATGGCGTGGGTGGCACCGGCGCCGGAGTCGGCGGCTGCGGCGATGGCGTGGGTGGGACCGGCGCCGGTGGTGAAGGAGATGGCGTAGCCGGCGACGTTGGCGCTGGAGAAGACATGGCGCCGCCCCGCTCGCTTGCGGTGGTGCGGCGCGCTTGTGCAACGTTTTAGTCGCCCGCCCTGTTACCGGTGGACTACGCCCAAACCAACACCAGCGAATAAGCGAAAACCGGGGCGCGAACGCGATATCTATGTGCTGGACCTGGCCTGGACGCGTTGAGCCGGTTAGAGCTTCCAAAAGAATTGGTAAATCAGGTGGTAAAAAAAAAGTTGGAACCATATTGGTTGCGTTTCTACGACAGTAAAATCTTGATTAAAAAATATAGAAGACAATTTTATATCAAAAATCCTAAATTATTTGCAAATCACTGTAAGTCCCGAACCACTTTTATATTTTCTTTTTCTCTTATATATTTGCATTGGAAAACATTCCGATGGATACGTGTGTATATTTCTGTGCTATCGGGTTGATTTTTTCAAGTGCGGAAAGATTGAAAGTTGTTGGAGAATAATTTTTTTCAATCTTGCAAAAAAATAAAGATTGAGACGTCCTAAATTACGTAATAGATCTATAAGTTAACAGAAGAAATACCAACATTAAACCCCAACAGCCCCTTATAGGCCTCATTCGCTGGTCTGGACGGGTTCAGCCAGGCGACTGGTCCCCCTCACGCGTTACTGTTTATCAAACCATCCGAACAGTGTTTTTCTTTCACAACAAACCAGCCGGAACAGTGTTTTTCAGCCAAGTTTCAGACCAACGAACGGGGCCATAATAGCTTTTTAAAGGATTTTGCATTGGGAAACCCTAGCTGTTTCTAACCAACTAAATATTTTTAAGTAGTTTCTTTGTCTCTTGTCGTTTTCTCATCTAGAGGCCTTTATTTTTTAATTTATTCATCCATCCAATTTAATCCGATCTTCCGAGAAAAACGATGAAAGGAGAGCAGTCCCTCTCAACTAAGAAAACTTACGAGTTCGAGAGGATATTTAGTAATATTTTATTTTTAAGTGCTATTTTACTAAACTGTTGGAGGATATTTTTTTTCTTTTTTGCTAAAAATTAAAACAAGGTTTTATTTTACAAAACTCACGGAGACGCGCTTAGCCGTCGGGTGTTTTTTCTGCTTGCATTGACCGTGCACAATTCTTACCTTCGCTTGCCGAAGCGACAGCAGCAGCAGCGCACGCGTGCGCAGCGACGTGCGCTTAATACGAACGGGTCTTTTCTTCACTTTTTTTTTTATTAGGGGGGTTGTATAAGATTGACCGCGCAAAAGTCAGTCAGGGCTTGATGCTTCATAGAATAGAAGTCCTGTTTTGTTTAGTGTTTCCATTGGAAGAGCCCTAAACTGCTAATCATAAGCTTTCGACGGCAGGTAGCCAGCGCTAGGTACATGGCAACCGAAGTTGGTGAGATGTAAGACAAGAACGTCATGTACGGAAGGAAAACAGCACGGCAAGCGGCAGCTGCAACCTGCAACCTGCAACCTCACCAACTTCGGTTGCCATGGCGCGACGACACGGCCTGACCCGAGTACCCGTACCCGACGGCTAGCTCGTTGCGTTGCGTGTGGTGGTAGGTGGTAGCAAACACATGAAGGAAGAACCTACGGCTGCGGTCAGCCAGAACTCGGACGTGTGCCCTACTGGCTACTGCCCTAACCGCGTTGGATCTTTCTTCCGCTCGGAAGGTCGCCAACGCCTCATTCTCAATCGGAACGGTGAGCTTTCTTCTCCGGTAGCTTGCCGAAATGTGCTTTGGATTAGTAGCTGCACGCAATGCATTGTCTGCTGTGTGAACCCGAACGCTGTATACATCTGTCTGCAACTTGCGTAGATGTCGTTGTCATCAACCGTTCATGAGGCGATTCGACAGGGATGTTTATGTGCTGACCTCACAACAGAGTCACCTTCGATCCATTTGCTATTGCCAGGTTGGATGCATCGATCGCGCACGATTGGAGACGCCAAGGCATTAAGCAACCAGCAGCCGGCACCCCCGCAACGTCCAGGACGAATACATGATGATGGACCATCAAACATTCCGTTGACCGACCCCATCCGTTGGCCGCCCAGGTCCTCCAGCGATGTACCAGATGGACCTGCAAGTCGCGTGTTTGCATAGTTGCATGTACCAGAGACAACATGGTTCTAGCCTTCTAGGCTCGCATGACATTTTCTGTGACTTGTTCCTTGGCGACCAAATCACGAGGCATTTTTTTTTCCTTTCCGGAAATGAACTCAGAACAAAAGTGGCTATTGTACAAACAAGTTGGGGTGCTGCTAACTGGAACTGGGAATAAGATGATGAGGCACTAGAGCTGAATAGTGAATGCAGATATTTCATATCATTCCTCAATACTATTGAAAATTCTGGACGACCAAGTAATAAAGTCCAATAAAAAGCAAAAGATAGGATTCCTCTTTATCACCCCACTTGCACTACCATCTACCAGGTCGTCGCTGTAGCTTGAACTTCCCACCACCACGTAACATAAAAGAAAAAATGAACAAAACCACACGTATGGCAGCCTGGCAGGCGTGTTTGTGAATGAAGGAGAGGCAGCGAACGGTTATGTTTCAAGGGGAGGCTGCATATCAGCAAATCTAAGTTCAATAGATGTTCCAGCAAAACAGCTGAATTGACTAGCATCAGTTCTACAGTCAAGCTAACGGCCAAGTTGAATCAAGCCTCAGCCTTGTCAGATTCTTTTCAGAATTGACTCGTTCAATTCAAACAACTTTTAACGTAATCAAAGCAATTTTTATCCAATCCATGTGCCTATTAGACAAGCTGAAGAGGAAGGGTTGGAGTAGTTGGGACTGAAGATGATGCTTGGACCATGGGGTGAAGGTGATGGTGATGGAGGTGGAAGTGAGCCTGGTACAGAGGTGAAGGGCCTGCTTGCTTTGTGGTCTGGCAAAGTTGCCTGGCGCAGGAGCTTCTCCCAGGCGTCCTGGGATCAGGATATCTGCCTGGCGTGAGCTCTGCCTAGGAGGGTTCAAAGCAAACAGGCCCGAAGACATGTCTGACGAATCCTTCCCTCTTGATCCAAAGTTGTGGTTACAAATATTGGAGTCATCTCTGTCGAATCCTTCCTTCTTGCTTTTTTTATCCTAAACATGTTTTTCTGGACCGGAAATAACATGAGTAACACGCAATAACATGGAAGTCTAACTGATCTTACACAGATTGTACTAGTCTGAGATCATGCTTTCTTCTTGATCCAAAATTGGCAATAATTTCATTCTAACTGTCGATGAAAATTTAAGAAGCTGCCTAAATTGGCCAATTATAAACTAATAATAATAAACATAGCTTAGAAAAAAATAGAAACTGACACATGTGGTAGTTCTTAGTGCTGTGTTATGATGCTGATGAACAATTATCTGCTCAAAAGCACATGCAACTCTGTGCAGCAAATCAGATAAGTATTTTGTTTCTTAAATTAGTTTCAGAAATCAATAACAAAATGGCAAGTGATGTAAGAAGCTACCTTAAGCAAGAGTAGTTAAATGATAGCTACTTATAAGTAAAGAAAAAAAACTTCCAGCTCCACACTTGAAAAAACTGGAATAATATGTTATGGTCCAAAATAGTCATCATTTAACTGGAAGGCCAAGTCATAGTCACTAGGTTACTAGCACACTAGTAGCACTGGATGTGCTTTGGCACAAAAGCTTCACCAAAGTCAAGCTTGACGACAAACGCCAAAAGGTAATCCGCAATCCATGTACTTTGGTGGCAAGAAATGAAACAAGGTTATACCCAGTTTCAGCAAATCCAAGAAAACAAATGCAAGGGAAACCCATGTAATTAAGGAAAGTAATAGAAAATGGTCAGCCTAATCAGTTGTGATATTTTTTGCTGCGCCTGCAGCTGCTTGCAACTACAGTACAGCTCAGTTTTTTTTTTTGCAGCTGTAAACAGCTGCAGCGAGAGCACCCATATATTGATGAACAGTTCCATATTAGACGGAAATAATGGTCAGAATGTGCTTAAAAACTACAAAACTCCAGCTTGTTGGAAGTGATTAGGTTCAGATAATTTCTATGGATCAAGATCCAAATCCAAATCACCGTATCATAGCAAACCTATAGAGGTTAACAAGCATACAGTATGTTTCCATCGGAAAGGGTCACAAAGGTAAGTTGATAGGATACCAAAAACCATCTATATTACATATACCAGTTTCAATGAGTGACTGAACTTTAAACAACTTATAAAGCCTAAACATATCTTTTAGGCTCTGTTTGGCATGGCTCTGACTCCTTGCCACGGTGCATGAAACCGGCGCTGATGAGGCAAAAAATAGTGGCTTCACCGGCTCCTAGTTCATTTTGATAAAAAGAGATAAAAATGGCTTCTTGCTACAGTGCATAGAGGAGCTAGCCAGAGCAGAGGTCCACCAAACGGGGCCTAAACAACACTTCTAAACTACTGATTCCAGATAGGTGTAAAGGAAAAAAATCTCATTCGCAAAACAACTAATGAAAACACCCAAGAAATGTCATGCAGCATTGTTGCAGTGGCCAGAGTATGATTACCATGGTTGAGAAACAAGTGAGATGCTGCAAATAAGATGCCAGATCCAACTAGCTATAATACACCCCCCCACCCCCACCTTGCTTGCGCGAACAAGGGCAGACCCAGTGCCGGAGGCTCCCACATGAGTGGGGTCTGGGGAAGGGAAAAACCGAGGCAAGCCTTCCCCCCGCAAAATCTGCGGAGAGGCTGCTTCGAACCCGCGACCTAGTGACTCAGTGAGACAGCTCTCACCACTGCACCAGGCGCGAACAAGTCTGAATGTATTTAATCACAAGTACATGACATGTCAAGAGTGCAAAGCAATGGGTTTGAAGCCAAAAATAAAGGGCATTGTAACTAATGAGCAAAAAAGAGATGAAAAAAAATCAGATTTCAAGTACACTGCCTAGCAATTATATTGTACTCAAGATTTATCAATTTAGGTAAGGCTGTTGAGAACCTAAGTACCAAACTACAACAGTTTTGAGCAGCAAAGCACAATTGCAGACATGACATGCACAGCACCAATCTGCTCAAAACTATAAATCTTAGGTTCTATTGACTTCAAAGAATTATCCTTTTCAACATATCTCCTGCTATCCAACTAATCTCAATTAATGGATGAAACCGCTGCCCCTTGAGAGACAAATCACAAACCCTGTGAATCTGCTAACCCATTTTGGCAAACAAAGCTAGATCTTCATCTAGGTAATGCTGAACTTAAGCATCAGCAAAAACCGCCAAGGCACTATCATGATCTAACTTCAACTCTGCTACCGAACATTAACAATATATTTAGTTTGAATACGAGGTTATCCTGCCAATATAACATTAAGGAAGGCAAAACAAAGCAAGCCGCACACTCCATTCCAGGAGTAAACTGAATAACTGATCCTATAGTCCTCCACAGCGCAAGCATAAAGTCATAAACAGTAAAACAGTACATGACAACGCTGCTATTTTACCATAAAAAGTGACCAAATCAATTCAAACATGTCGAATTTCAGTGATTGAAAAGACGAGTCATTACACCTTATTCATTTGGATCCCACACAACAGTTCAGCATTCCAAAATGCTCCATCAGATTCAGACTAAAACAATACCGGCACAAACCGAATGGAAACTCTCCTCGCAGCCCCGGTCGAGGGATCGACGTCTCCTGCAGGCCGGGACGACGCTCAGAGGAACTTCCTGTACGGCCGCCCGGCAACCTCGTCTTGCATATGCTGCATCCAACCCAGCAGGCACAAACAGAAAATCGATCTTAGGGTTTGGGGTAAGGAGAAAGGGGCAGCGGAACGGCAAGAGGGGCTATAGTGGATTACGAATTCGCGGACGATGCCCTTGTAGACGAGGATGGGGACAGCGAGGCCGAAGAGGCCGACGACGGCGAGGCTGCGGCGGGTCCAGCGGAAGTTGAACTCGAGGTTCTCGCGGCCGGCGTTCCACTCTTCGATCCACCGGTTTTTGTGCACCTCCGTGCCGCCACCCATCTTCTCCTTCCTTCGACCCGCCAAAGAGAAATGTGTGCTGGTTGCTGCCGAGACGGTGAGAGTGATTTGGTTCGGGGAATTTTGCGGGAGACTGCTCCGTCCGGTTTAGATGACCCAGGCAGGCAGGCGCCCAGCGCCGCAGCGCGTCTGCGCGTGTGGTGGTGTGGTGAACCGTGAGCCAAACCAACCACAAAAGAAGGCGTACCTGTGGATTGCACAAAACCAATCCAATGTGCTTAATACCCGTTTTTCCATCACGAAGACGGTTTTTTTTTATTCCTCGGATCTGACAGTACAAGTTGCAGTTGCAGTATCTGAACATATAACCAAACGCACACATGCACGCACACACGCCACTAAGGTGTACTCCAGATCTAGAACTCTCTACTACCATTCATATACGCCTACGAGATATTTACGAAGACACAGCTTCGCTAGCGATGGGAGCGTCGCCTCTCCTTGTGGTCCATAGGCGCCTTAGGTCCCTGCAACGAGAAAGTGGGGAAAAACCCCGATGGGAAACCAGTACCGAGTGAGACTCGAACACTGGCCGGTAGGAAGGCAGCCACCGGCCTCTACCACCCGCGCTACGCGCGGTTCCTCTTGAAGACGGGTTTGAGCCTATGTGGGAGCACGAACTCTCTCCATCCCAAGTTAGGAGACTATTTGAATTTTCTAGGCACATTGATTTTTCTACTCCTGTATATCTAGACGTAGTAATTCTAAAAATAATATAGACGTAATGTATATCTAAACATATAGTAAAAGCTATGTATTTAGAAATATCCAAACCTCATGTGATTTGAAATGGCAAAAGTAATAAATGCTCAAGAAATAAATTAAGAGTTTTTTCAAAAACATGGCACGTATATCGCATCTCTATAAATGTTTATACAAGTGAACTCTCAAATTCTAACTTAGGAGAATGCATGCACACACCAGAATCTCATATTGACTGACCATGCGTGACAGAGTGCACCAAATCAAGTATCTACAATAAACAAACCAAGATACATTCCATACAAAAAAAATAAAGGATACACTTATGAAATCGGACTATAAGTGTACCAAATCAAACAAGCAACTACCAAATCGGACCGACAAGCTAGTCCTAGGGCACGTCATGGTGGCGACGACAATGCGAGTGAGGCTAGCCAGTAGCCAGCACTTTGTTTCGGTGGTGTAGTCAAGGGCGGCCAACCCTAGGGCACGTTACAACAGCGGCTCCGACCACTAGGCATCATGAAGAGGTTACGAGAGAGACGAAGAAAACTAGGGAGACACCATGGAAACGAAGCGGTGGAGGACGGGAAGAGTTGAGGAAGCGCTCCGGATAGTGGTAGGATATTTTTCTTTCTCACCATCCCGTAGAGTGACGCGTGGATCAGGAATGGTAGTGTGGACGGGCCATAGAGAATTCACAAGGTGTGTAAAAGAGGTTTTGGGCCATGCCTAGGCAGTGGCCCTAGTGGCCTTACGTGTATTTGTTCATACCTCGGAGTTGTTTGATTGCACTTTAATCTATTTTAAAATCTATATAGTTGAGAGATTGAGATGTCATATATCTATTGATCTACATAGTTGAGAGAGGAGATCGAGCTGAAGTTTGTGTGGCTAGTGGTGGTAGTGGCCATTGAAAGCTCTAATTTGGTTTTGGTGAATTGATGAAACCCTAAGTACTAACCTTTGGCTCTAAGTATATATGAGATAGGTTAGTACCAATCCAAGTGGTGGAGCAATTGAAGTTCACGGTGATGGTGCTGGACATGTGATGTTGATCAAGTGGTCAAAGCTTGGAAAAGAAGAAAGAGAAAAACAAAAAGCTCAAGGCAAAGGTATAATTGATAGGAGCTCTTTCTTTTGATGATCGAGACACTTAGCGAGTGTGATCACATTTATGATAGATAGCCGTACTATTAAGAGGAGCAAAACTCATGGTGAAATATGGTTATCAAAGTGCCACTAGAAATTCTAACTCATTGCATATGCATTTAGATTCTAGTGAGTGCTAACACCCTTGAAAATGTTTTGTGAAAATATTCTAACACACGTGCACAAGATGATAGACTTGGTGGTTAGCACATTTGAGCAAGGGTGGTGAAGTTGGAAACGAGAAGGAGCTTGTTGGTGTTTCGAGTTACCACCGATAAGTAAATTTCTAGTATTGCACGTCTGGCTCGGATTGTGTGCTTAGAGGACATGAGGTTTATACTAGTTCGGGCAGAAAGTCCCTACGTCCAGTTCATCGCTGCTGCTCGTGTTACTAGCACTGAAAGTTTGTCGTAGGGGTTACAAATGGGCGAGAGAGGGAAATGATCCCAAGTCTCCAGTGAAAGGAGTGAGTGGGTGCTGAGAGCGCGATCGATGTTCAGCTGTGTGTTTGTGTCATGCTCTTGTGCAGATATGGATCGAATCTCGATGAGTCAATCGGTTTCGATCCCTTTCATGGGACGCCCTGCTTTCCCTTTTATAGGCCAAGGGAAGGCACGGGTTATAGTGGAGGAAAAGAGAAGAATGAGAGAGATAGAAGAAGGCCTTCAGGATCGCTAGGTCCTTCTTCTCCTTCATGCGGGTCCCACCGATCCTATAGATGTTAATAGGGACAGCTCCACGTCGTGGCCCTATACGTCACTGGTGCCATGCGTAGGCGTCGTCTATCAATCATAGTGTCCCATCCCATCCTGGCGGACGTCGTGGTGAACTGACGCGCCTGTCATCGTTCGTACGAGGGTTAGGTAGAACATCACCGGCACGCCTAACGCTTTTCTTGATGTGAACCCTTAGGTATGGCCCGCCATGGCCATGGGTTACATCGAGCCATGCTAGTCTCTTCCCTGGTGTTTGAGCTTTGACCCAGGCCCATACGCTTGGACCTGGAGTGGTTGGCGGTGGTATGGGTCCCCGTCGGGCGAGGCGGAGCCTGCACCCAAGGGGTCGAGTGAGGCGGAGCACAAACCCATAGGTCAGGTGAGGTGGAGCCCGTGGCCTTGAGGTCAGGCGAGGCAGAGCCTGTGGCCTCAGGGTCGGGCGAGGCGGAGCGCAAACCCAAGGGTCAGGCAAGGCGGAGCCCGCAGCCTCAGGGTCAGGTGAGGCGGAGCCCAAACCCAAGGGTCGAGCGAGACGGAGCCCGCAGCCTTGAGGTCGGGTGAACCAAAGCCCGTGACCTTGGGGTCGGGCGAGCTGGAGCCCGCGGCCTGGGGGTTTGGTGAGGCGAGCCCTCCCCCAGAGGTCGGGCGAGGCGGAGCCCATGGCCTATAGGTCGGGCGAGATGGAGCCCACGACCTTAGGGTTGGGCGAGGCGGAGCCCGCGCACCTAGGGGTCGGTTGGTGCCGTAGTCGCGCTCTTGACTGCTTGGATGAATCAATATTAATGGTCATTAGCTCATCCTCTTCGGGTATCCTAATATTGGTCCCCGGTAGTAGCCCCCAATCCTATAGAGGAGTAGAAAACTCCTTCGAAGGCTTTTTCAAATGGGAGGACTCTGAGGGCCTTGGCCTTCCTTTGTCGCCCACGGCATGTCCTAGGAACGTCGATTCTCTTTCATCGTGATCGGACCCCTTGGGGGTATAGCTGTGAGATTTGGTGGGTCGGAAAAGGTCTTTCCTGATTCCGACCCCTACGGGGGTCTGTCGTTCTATGACCACGCGTTCGGTCTCCTTGCGAGTCCAACTTTCCTCGAGCCCCCACCCATAGCAGAGGCTCGTCTTTGTGATCGTTTTCCCTCGAGCGTTTTTTCTGATAAAACGGAGGGGCTGTGTCGTGCCATGATTTTTCTCTATGGATGAATCATGGTGCTTGGTGAGTTATTAACGGGCTAGTCCGAGTGGGGCCCCGACATCCCGTTCGCTGGGGTCTGGCTTGGGCCAGCTAGTGACCGACTCCAGATTCTCAGCGGTCAATCCATATAGTTCTCAGGTCTGTTCGACCGGTCCTGAGGGCTCTCTACCTTTCTTCGAGGAAAAACCATGGATCGTATCTGGCCGAGACTCGAACATGGGCCGAGATGCCCGCGGTGCTCGTGCGCCTAGGTACAGGCCGCTAGCGGGCCCATCCCTTCCCACCCCTCGCTCTTAGGGTGCCCCGGAGCGGTCGTGAACCCATCGGTGGGCCGGCCTTCAAACTCCTAGGCCTGAATGGGCCATAGGAGCATTTTCAACTCTGTATCCCTCCGTACCTACGATGGTTCTCGGCTTATCGATCAGGCGAATCGTTATCCGGCGTGTCCTTTGAGGGCACGGCCAGAGATTGCGTGCACATGATCTTCGGAGGGAGGTGTCATGTCGTGGCACAGCGAGCACATGAATCTAGGTGGACGGTTTGCCTTCTTGCCCCGCTCCGCCTTATAAATAGCAGCCTTCCCCTTGATGTCTCTGCACACCAAAACCGCAATCTTACCTTCTCTGTTTCTCCACCGCCGCTGTTTTAGATCTACCATGCTTGCTAGTCCACCGCCAGAGCCCTAGATCCATAGCCTCCGCTCCTTCGCCACCATTGAGCTTGCATCCATCCTCCTCCACCTCCAATGGATCCGTGGTGCTGTTCCGACATCACCTCCCAGCACATGGAGGGCCTCATCCATCGCGGTCTTCTCCGCTCGCGGACCTTGGCCGAGGAGTGATTGCTGCCCAGCGATGAGGATTCACCATCGCCGCCTGACAGCTATGTGGTGTCATTCGCCTACTTCCACGAGCGTGGGCTCGCGGCCCCCGCCCATAAATTCCTTTGGGTGCTGCTGCACTTCTACAAGATTGAGCTGCAACATCTCAATCCCAACTGGATCCAGCACATGGCAGCATTCATCGTGCTGTGCGAAGGGTTCCTAGGGATCAGCCCCCACTTCCACTTGTGGAGGCATTTCTTCGCCGTCAGCCTCTAGAAGAAGAGGAAGAAGGGCGGCAGGCAGGAGCTGCACATGCCGATGGGTGCGTCGGCATCCAACTTTGAAACAATCAGGTCAGCAAGTACCCGTCCATGTGGCTCTCGACGTCCAACAAGGGGC